TACCATGTAAGCACAACGCACTGCTAGGTTTCTAAGTAGTCTAATGATCTCTAAGATTTCTGTTCTGATTCCTTCTAAATCTTACTGCAAAACCTTCACTTAGAAGTTCACTCCCATGTCAGATTCTGAAAGCGGTCTTCACTGAAGGCTGTTAGGAGAAGCCCTAAATAATTTATTGCAACACACTTATTCTAAGTTAGGCACTGTGCAAATCACTGTTGACAAGATAAACCGCCACAAAGATAAATAAAACACAGGCATCTTTCCTGAAATGGTTGTAGTCTAGCGCAGAGGTCTCTTAAATGCTAATATGCATAAGAATTGCCAGGGAGGCTGTTAAAAATGTAGGACCTGGCCCCAGTCCCAGAGGTTTTGTTTCATTGATTGTTTTAGGTGATCTCCAGTGAGTGATCTCTCTTTGGAAACATTTGTCTGGGGGCCAAGCATTGATGGTTATTTCAATGTAACGTCAAAGTGCTGCATTTGAATAATGGTAAATCATAGACTTTGGCACTAGAAGATACAGATTTGAATCCAGCACTACTATTCACTACTTGTGTGGCACTGGATAAGTTATTTAATCATATTGTCTCTACAAAACCATACCTCTTATGGTTGTTATGATGTTTAAAATAAACGAGTAATTTAAATCTAAAGAAATAAACTAATGCTTACTGCTTACTAATTTTCTTTTACTGTGAAGGTACTGCAACAAAACTCATTATAATATAGGACTTGGGAATCAGGATAGGCAAAGCGAGAAATGGAGAGAAGATCTAGAGCCTGTACAGATGCAGAAAGAGATGAACAGAGATATTTGCTGAAGAAGCTTGCTTGAAGTTTGCTCTATTACATGTAAGATAAGTTACTCACTAAATATTCTTAACATTTAAGTACTAACCAGTGTTTTTGAAGTTGGGACTTGTGTTTGCAGAAAATGCCAGAAAAAGGGCTGCGTCTGTTATCAAAGTGTGCTGGGTGCAAGAAAAGATGCTACTCAGAGAGTATAGTCATACTTTTATTACATGAGTAAATGGCTAATAGGCTGGCACGTAATAAACCTCCAATAAATAGTGGCTGTTATCAGTGCCCTGTTCTTCCTTGCTCCATCCTTAACCCGATGTCTTCTTCCTACTCTATCCTTAAGTAGTATTCCACCTAAGTTTTCAAGAAACCCTCTTACACTCTTACTCTTTTCCCAGAACACTCTCCCTTTGCGACTCCTGACAGTAAACCTTAAGAACACCACCTCCTTCATCAGCTTCTCTGACAGGGATCCATTCATTCAACTGGTCATTCATTTAACAAGTACTCAGTGAGCAAATACCCTGTGCTGGGCTGTGCCAGGAACAAGAAAAGGACAATGGAAAAAACACATGGTCCCTGCCCTCATGGAGCTTATAATCTAGGGGAGGGGCAAACAAACAAACAAATACACAAGGAAGTATCTAATTACAAAATAGTAAAGTGCTAAAAAGAAGTTCAGTGTTCTATGTGTATACAAGTACCTATTCCAGTACGGACAATAAGAAAGGCTCCCTGAAGAAAAAAATCTTTATTATATTTGTTGAGCACCTATTATGTCACAGATAGCAGTATCCCTGCTATATATGATATAATATATAAGTGCACATGTTAAATAAGACATGAAAGAGAATTAAGATATGTAGTACAGTATGATATCTGATATGTAAAAGATAAGCACAAGTGTATTTCAGTAAGTGCTAGGAATCACGGAAAATGTCCTAAAAGAATAATAATAAATAAAATAAATGGTAGCTATTATTCCTATGATACCATGTGCTCCAAAAAGAGGCACGTGGTGGGTTAACTGGTGACCCTCCCCACCAAAGAGCCATGTCCACATCCTAATCCCCAGAACCTGTGAACATTGCCTTATATGACATGAGTGCATATCCCCTTAAATACAAAAGCTGTGATTAAGATTTCAAGAGGTAGAGTTTTTCCTGGATTATCTGGGTAGGCCTTAAATGAAAATACATACATTCTTATAAATATAAAGCAGAGAGTTTTGACTTAAAGGGAGTGGGCAATGTGATCACAGCTTAGAGCTATAAACCAAGGGACTCCTGGTGCCAGAACTGGAAGAGGCAAGCAAGAGATTCTTCCTGAAAGCCACAGGTGGGAGCAGAGCTTTGCTGACACCTTGACTTTGGGCACTGGCCTCCAGAACTGTGAGAGAGTACATTTATTTATGTATTCATTTTTCAGTCACCCAGTTTGGGATAATTTCTATTAGCAGCTACAGGAAACTAATAAAAAATTAAACCAATTTGTGGATATAGGGAATTGCTTTCTGGAGCTAAAGGAAATTTTGAGGGGAGGAGATCTCAGTTACTATTACCATACGTAAAATATCAAAAAACATCAACAATATGAAAAAAAAAATAGTAAAAAGGATACCAGACATGAAACAGCATGATTTTCTTCTGGAACCCTAAACTGTAGCTGTGGGGAGAGGTAAGAGATGAAATCAGAGTATCGCTAAGTTCAGTTAGTCTTGAAATGGCAAAACTAAAGAGCCAAAACATCTCTAGGCCCTTGGTACTCAAAGAGTGGTCCTTAGAGCAGCAGGTGGAGTTATAACATTATTATAGAGGTTTTTAGAAATGCAGAACTGGGGCCACATTCCAAACCAAATGCTAATAGAATCTGAATTTTAATAAGCTTTCCGGGTCATTTGAAGGTACCCTAACATTTAAGAAGCTTGCCTCTAGGGCAATGCTATTGGGAGATTTTCAAAGATTTAAAGCAAATAACTGACAAGGTAACTTTTGCATTGTAGGTTATCCACCTGGTGGTATTATGAAGAACACCTTTAACTGGATAAAACCCAAGGCAGAGACAAGTGACTGCAACAGTACTGGTAAGAGATTACGAAGTTTTGAATGAAGATGGTGGTAACAGAGATGGAAAAAAAAGAGACAATTTTAAGAAATATTTAGATCCTAGTCTGATATGTAGTAAATCTATTCACACCTAGGTTCTATGATGTGTCCCACTTCTCTGTGCTTCTATTTCTAACAGGATCTTAGAATGGGATTATTCCTGTCATAGTTTCTGTTGAAGCACCAAGCAGATGACAGGATGCTCAACGGAGGGTGAGCCATTCTCCCTTCTACACACAGGTTGACAAAAGAAATGCATTCTAGATATTTTACATGATTCATTGAGGCTTCAACCAGATCAAGAATATTTTAAAAAAGGCATCAGAGAAAGTAAAGGAATAGCTTCTTTAGAGAGCTGTCACTCTGTCATGAGCACTGCCAAAAAAAAAAAAAAAAAAAAAAAAAAAATCTGATCTTTTAAGTTACTCAGTTGAATAACAGTACCAATCCTCTGAGAGGGAGAGGCATAGATGTGTAGGACCTTCTAACTTCAAGCCTAGCGAGGAGTACTGTCAGGGGACTGTGGGAGAGCTTTGAAATGTATTTTCTATAGCTGAAAATGCAAAGAACTAGTGTTGTACTGCTGCCCCCAAAATCTTAAGTGGACTGTAGACTGACGTGTGACTGACTCTACTACCTCCATCCCAGAAAATGTAGAGGCTGAGGATGACTGGCTGCTTGGCCTAGGAGAGTGCTTTTGGTTTAGGACCAGCCTTTACTCCTAAAACTTATCAGGGCAAGGAAAGTAAGCCAAGGGAAAAAGAGCTGGCATGGTTCGTTCCTGGGTTATCAGGGCAAGGAAAGTAAGCCAAGGGAAAAAGAGCTGGCATGGTTCGTTCCTGGGTTCTGTCCAAAAAAGCCACCTGGAAGAGTAAAGAGTTCCTCTCAAAAAGGAACTGTAGATGCACTTCAGGCTTTTTAGGACCTGAACCAGGAAAGATGCATCAGCTAATGAATTGCCAGAGTTGGAAAGGTCTAGTTGGGAACCTTCAAGGAGTTCTCAAAGGTGTCTACAAAGAGAAAGAATCTGTTTTAATAATTTACCAGGACCTGCAAGAGGTCCCTGCCTTTAGACACAGAGAAGGAAACAACTAGGATTTTCAGTGAAGTAAGAAATGTCCTATATCTCTGACTTGTTGTCATCCTCCCACCTCCTAAGGGCTGGATGTGGCCTTGGAAATGATAGCAGTATGATGTCACGCAATAGAAGAAGAGAGAAGGCCCACTCCACTTCTTCAGTTCAGCTCTAATTAGGCTTAAGCTATTGCAAGAGAGAAGAATTCATACTAAATCCAATTATGAATTTTCATTATTACACAATAACAAATAGTATCTATTTAAGTATTAAATACTTAAGTTACTGAATTGTCATAGTGTCTGTAACTTAAAATGACAATGGAAAGTTATATTATTTAAAAGTCAACGAACAACAACAATAAAGCCACAGATCCCGCCATAGTTTTCATCCAGGAATAGGTACTCTACCCCAATAAAATTTAAAGGAACGGTGAGAGAAAAAAAACATTTCATTTTAGCTCTGTCAAAAGCTATGCTTTCAATATTAAAATTTTAGTAAATATTGCTCTAACTTAAAATACTGTTCTTTAAGCTTGTAATTCCTCGCAAGTTGAGTTGGTTCATTTAGGTTAAAAGACGGCTAAACAGAAAAAGAATTCTGGGATTGATGTCAGCTGTGGGCAGTAGTAACTACTGTTCGTGTCTGTGGGAGGTGGTCTTAATATACAGGCTTGCTATTGCTAGGATATAGTCATCTACTTCTAGCTCTAAGAAGATATTATACTATTTCTGCTTTTATAAAAGGAAACACTATAATTAGTGCTACACACACAATGAAAAATGTTGCTTAATCTTGTTTTGCTTATATATGTATTTATAATTTCTTGCTGTGTCTTTGTGAAAGCTTAAAAGGAAAAATTCTCCCACGGAGCACATATGTCAGCATTTAGTTTTTTAAAAAATTCACTTTAGTGGTTGTTAAGTAACTAGGTCTGTTCAGAGTTGTGTAAATCTGAGACTTTGTGTTCGGGGTAGGATAATTTTTCTCTTTGTTTATTCGTTGAACCCAGATTTAAAAATTTGAAATGTGGTATTAATGAAATCAACATCACATATTTAAGGAAGAAATTATTTGTAAGCAATCTTGAATATATATCTTAAGTACTAATATACAAAAATTAATTATCTGCCCCTATTTTTCTTTCTTCTTCATAATAGCAAAATAAGCACCAATTGACCAAGAGCTGTAACTAAAATAAGTCCTTTCTTCTAGTTTAGAAAACATGATAACCCTAGACAATAACCCATTTAATAAAGAAGAGAACAAGGTAAGCCTTGACCAGTTTGTCATCAGTTCCCTAAGTCCTCTTTTATGAAACTCCACATCTTGTCAAAAGATGGCGCTCCTGTAACCAGCAAAGAAACTGAAAAGTCCTGGAGAAGATAAAACACTTTTTCAGATACTGAGAAACCGTCCATTACTACTCGAAAGAGCCTTTTGATAGCAAGAAATTTCAGCTTTAGAGGGTGTGCTGAATCGCAGTTAGACATTCCCTTCCAGACAGACTGTCAACCTCCTAAATCTCAATTTCCTTTCCTGTGAAATCTACATAACAAAAGTGAGAATAATAAACACTTTCAGAGTTCCAGGAAGAAATGCTTAGCACAACGCCTGGCAAATAGCAGGTACTTGAGCAGTGACAGATAGCTATCATTTGTTAAAAAGCCAACACAGTGTTTGTCTTGTTTGCTGCGGAGTCTGCTGACTCAAGGTAGGTGCTCAGCATGTGTATCAGTTGAATGTGTTGACCTTACAAGAAAAACAGCTGGTTATTTGACCAGCAAAATGTGTTTACTCAATAATAGCAGAGGATTTGCAATTTGGACATGCAAGCTATGCCAAGCTACAGGCAGGTCCACAGGTCAAATGAGAGAAACGTTATCAAGAAAAGGAAGAATTTGGGGGTTGAGAGACTGCTGTGAATGAAAATCCACTGAAGGAAAGTAAGTCCAGCAGAGTGATGATTTCTCATTGTTTGAACTGTGATATTTTCTTACTCACTGGGCTTGTTGTTGGCTCTAGAGAAATTATTTCTTCTTCCTGCTAGAGTAGTAAGGTAGGCTTCCTCCCACTGGGAAGGCAAGATAGCTCTCTTCTTAAAAGAAGTAGTAGGACATGAAAGCTCCCCCTTCTAGCCTCCTGACTCCATTTTAAATGAGGTATCCTCTACTCAGTTTCACAAATGAATGGATGAATGAACCTTCACATCAATGCATAGAGTTAGCTAAATATAGCTCTCAGTCTGAGTGTCTTGAGCCTGTGAAATCCGAATCTTATGCCTGACTTGAACCTTGCCCTTCCTGATCAATGACTATAACTGCCCGTCTGACCTGTGAGTTGACGGACTTTAAATTTCCTGGTCTTGCTTAAGCTCCTAGGGTGGAATTTCCATCTCTAGTCTATTTTGTCACTTAAGTCCTATATCTCTACTATATCTTAAAAAGAACAACAACAACAAAAAATTATAACTCATGTCTAAACTAGGAGAGCTAAACCTATCAAAATGCAATTAAAATTATTTTAAGAGAAATTGATATTAATAAATGGGACCTTAACATTTAAATCTTATAATTTCATTTTAAACTATAATGGTATTACTTCCTTAGTGATGACTCCTCAACACATATATGTAAAGAAATGTTTAAAATATAGGGGCAATTTTTAACAACTCAGTGTTCCTTACGGAGGTCTTCAGTAGTTTATATTCTTTCTAGGGAGGTCTTGCAAACTTACACAATCCCCAAGCCTCAAAATCATTGAACTGTTACTATACAGCTTCGTTTTTCCTTCATTATCATTTCTGGCATTATAGTCTACTGAAAAACTTTCAATTTTATTTTCTAGCTGTGTCAAACTTAACATAGAATGCATTACAAGCCAGTAAGCCTGGTAGCATCTTCCTATTTATATATATAGGACAATTAGAGGAAAAAGAAAATGTTAGTAATCCTATTCTAATCTTAATTTTCTTTGTTGAGATGCTTCATAATCATTCAGAATGTTTTAAAATATAAACTTAAAAATAAGGTTTTTTTTTGAAAAAACAATTTAATTTCAGGGGGTGTAAACAACAAATCCTCCAATGAGAAAAGTGGAGATTTAGGGGGTGTATAGTAATGAATTAGAGCCAAAGAGAAAGCCTGGACTTTGCCTTTACCCTTTTAAGAAGGGGTTATCTGAGGGTCTTGGGTTACAATGAGTAGTCTAACAATATGATTTAGGTTGGGTACTGGCAACACCCATATCATCTTAGGTTGTGTATTAGCCAGTAAAAAAAAGACTAATAATAAGATTTTGGGTGGGACCCTTGAGTCACACAGTATCAGTGAACCTGGAAACTGAGACCTACATTTGGACACCAAGCTCAGGTGAGCCTCCCTGATTGGTGGTATTCGATGCATATTGTCACATGTTGATGCTAGAACATTAATGCGTCCTGACTTCATAGCTAGAAGACAACTGATTCTCTGCATTTGAAAGTCTCCTAGACTCTGTTTTACATGTGCTTTCTTTTAATCTTAATCTATTATCTTTTCCTTTTAATAAGCCATAACCACAGTATAATAGCTTTTAGTGGTTTTGTGGGTCTTTCTGAAAATTACTGAAACTGAATTTGGGAGAATCACTCCATCTCCCCCCCGCAACCCCGCGCCCTCCCGCAAATTTGCAGTTGATATCAGAAATGAGGGTGGTTTTGTGTGGGGACTGTGCCTCTAACTTTGTAATTGGCCTAAACTTCTCATAGAGCATTTTCAGGTTTGTTAAAGTAACAAGGCCACAGCAAGTTAACTTGACCATCACTTTGTAAGTACCAAGCTGTACTACCATGGTTCAGGACGAACCTGAACCTTGTCCTGACCTTACCTACTTTTAAAGTGAACACAATCTCTCTTTGAAATTTAAAAGTCAGTAACACCTCTAATGTATATTATAATAAACACCTTCTACATACTTTTATGGGATTTTCCCATAAGAAAAGACTTTTAAAACAGAGGGTGGAGAATATCTCTTTGAAGTATCAATACAATATATAAATTAAGGTGAGGGTGGCAACAACATGAAAAAAGTACTGAGTGGGGGTGCCTGGGTGGCTCAGTGGGTTAAAGCCTCTGCCTTCGGCTCAGGTCATGGTCTCAGGGTCCTGGGATCGAGCCCCACATCGGGCTCTCTGCTCAGCGGGGAGCCTGCTTCCTGCCTCTCTGACTACTTGTAATCTCTGTCTATCAAATAAATAAATAAAATCTTTAAAAAAAAGTACTGAGTGACATACTATATGATTTCATGTGTGTGAATTTCAAAACAAGATAGTAATCTATGTTGACAGAAGTCAGAATAATGGCTACTTTGGGGTGGCTGGGGTGGGATACGGGGGCTTAAATGCTGATGGGGAGGGTTAAAAGGGAGAATTAAGACATGCTGGAAATATTCTAGATCTTCGTTTGGATAGCAGTCACATGAGGTAGCATATAGCACTGTACACTTAAGATATGTAAACTTTAATATACCTCAATTTTGAAAAAAAGCTATACCTTAATTAAAAATTTAAGTTCTCCATCACATAATAAAGGAAACACTAAATATTAAAGGAAAAGTACATTTAATTGACAAACATTTGGTATCTACTATGTTTCAAGCTAGTACTTAAAGATACAACATAGGGAAAAAACAGAAAACCTGTTTATAGACTATCAAGTCAGTATTTTCAAGCTCTCACTAGCAACAGTCTGGACTTCTAAAATTCAACATGCCTCTATTCTCTAGAATCAATCTTACAAATATACCATTCATGATTTTGCATATGAAAGGTTTTATATATAAATTCTACCTATTCTTATATGCCCAACTCCATACTTGCTTTTTTTTGCAAATGTGTTTAATCTCCTGCAGCCAATGATGCCCTATCTTTGCTTTGCATTCCTTTTGTACTCATAAAGTATCACACAACTCAGCACTTAATAGTTCTTTAAGAGTCTTGTGTTAAATTTATCTCCTTTTCAAACTATAAGTTCCTCTAAGTTCCCTGAGAATAGAGATTATATCACACTTTCCTTTGGCGAGTTCACAATGCTTGGCGAAGTGTGGGTTATGTGATATATGCTTAATTACTTGTGGGTAGAATGAATGGAAACTCCATTCTGACCATATTAAAAATCCTTAAGAATAGTCTAAACTTCAGCAAATTTTAATTCATAAAATAACTAATATCCATCATTATATATTGCCATTTTTTACTTGCTCAATTTTTATGTGCATAAAAGAGATAAAAGTTAGTCTTCATATTATTCTGTTTCCCATGGCTCAGTTCTGATAAGTGAAGGGAGGCTATCCTTATCTGTTTAATACCAGTATGTTTGCTTTAATTGAGAAGGAAAAGGATTGTGGGTGAAACATTTGTCTCCAAATACGTCTTTATCTCTCATGGCAACAGAACTCCTGAATTTTAACTGCAATATATAATATAGTTGCCTAAAATAAAAACTACTTCTCCCAGCTGCCCTTGAAATTAAGTGTGGCTATGTGACTAAGTGAGGGTGTACTTTCAGCTCATGTTCCCAAAATAGGTCCCTCTGTTCCTCCTCTTCTTTAGACTGCTACTTGGAATATAGCCTTGGTTGCAAGTCATCTCATATTATTAGATGAGAACACTACACTAGAAATTGTAGAATAGCAAGAAGATGCCTGGATCTCTGGATGACTAAATCCTGAATACACCTACACTGTTCCACGACTGCTCTTGGGGGTAGGGTGACTGAAAAGACATCAATGCTGGTTGACCCGTGAGCTGACCCCAGGCAATCAAAGGCACCTCTGCCTACCTGTTATCTTTGGAATGTGAGTTCCGCTTGCCTTCCTGCTCCCAGCAGCTGCCCCAAGGACATAGCATTGGGATAATGATGTGGTGCTGAAACTATTTAGACAGTATAAGATAGTATAAGTACTTGACTGAACCTGGCTAAGGCCTCTATATAAACTTTTAAGATTCGACAGGTGCATCTAGGGATCCACTTGTCTTGTATCCTAAAACAAACTTGCGTAAGTAAGTTCCCTTTGGTTATTAAATCTGCCACTTACCAACCTAGAGTAGGCTTCTTCTTTCTTTGTTCTCTCCCTGTCCTCCAAATATAGGGACCAGTTTCAGATTATACCTGGGACACTCCCAAAGAAACTTGCAAACCAATTACTCAGCTATCATGTTTTGAGACAGAAAACTCTATTGCTACTGTTACTCTGGGTCTCATATACAGTCTAAATAATTCCTTAACTTCTCTGTTGGGAGAAATCACAGAATAGCAACAGTTGGCAAGGAAAGTTTCTTCCATTCCCACACAGTGCTTTAAGTAATAAATATGTTAGCACTTCAAACTTCGGGTGG